ACAGAACCCGCAATGTGACAGACGTTGGGAGTGCCACTGGAGGAATGGTGCCACCCCAATGTTACCCCATTATTTTATTCAGATGGCATCTCCAGCACTGGAATGCAATGTCAGCAGCTGCTTCCCAGTGCACACACATGGGGTTCCATAGGGCACGGCCATCTCCAGGTGTGCTGGCATGTGCCTTCCTTTCAGTCTGTGAAAGGTAAAACCTCTGATGGATGGAGACTACTAGGACCAGTGAGACCACAGGCTGAAAGATGCCCAGGGATGGATGGGTCTGTCCTGCTGCCCTTCAGAAAAGAGACAGGCTGCCCAGAGAGCACAGGGGCTCTGATGTACCTGCACCCCACACAGGCAGCTCCTGCTTTCACCCAAACCTTGGGGACAAAAAACCCAACCTGAACTTGAACAAATATTCCTATATTTCAGGGAGCAGCAGCCACTCGACTCTTCTGCCCCGTGCTGGCTGCCCTGCAAGTGATAAACGCAGGGATTTTACATGGCTTGTCCAAGCACCCCAGTAGCTGAGACACTTGTCTTCATGCAGGAGGGCCCACGGCCAAGCTCCTTCTGCTAATTCATCTCCGTATCAGCCAGGGAAAGAGCTTTCTGTGCACTGTCCCCCCTGTGTTATTTGCTGAATAAAATTCTTCCTCATTAACAGGCCGAAGCCCAAGAAACGGCCACTGGAACAAACAAGGTTCTGTGCAGATATAATCCCCACCTCACCGCCGGGGAATTAAAGCAAAGAATTAGGCTGTAGCTGTTCCCTTCCAGCACGATGAATGCTTAAGCAGGTTACGGCTTTGCTCTGCAGACGTTGGCTGGGGAGAAGAAATAATGACTTCTTTACCAGCCCGACTCACTTGCTGCTCTCAGGGAAACGAGCCTGAGGATTATTTTTTGACAAAACAGTTAAGAATGATTACTGCACGCCAGTATGTTTGAAGTGTTAACCTCAAGGATTGCTGGAAGTGCCAGCCTTTCTCCAGCTTATTCTTCTTCCCCTCAGTGCTGCCTGTGACACGCAGGGGAAGGGGCCTGATTAACCCCAGATGCCAGCTGAGAGGGCAACCCCCCCAACTGCTGCTGCAGCACAAATTCATATAGGTGCCTGAGAATGAAAGGTCCTCATTTTCCACAGCGAAAAGCCTGCCTTTCGGAGACTTACATCTAGTTTGTTAAGCACTAGAAGAGCAAAAGTTACCTGGAGAGGAAAAAAAAGAAGAAGTCACTTCTGGCTGGTGGACCTGCTACCTGAACTGCTCACCAAAGGTGGAAATTCTTGAGCTGAACCTGGCACTGGACTGTTCAGGGCCAGTGAATGTAGCAGCTGAGGCAGACTGGTGGTGACTGGTGGTGTTTCACAAGAAGGTGGGATGCTGCACTTCATACAGATGTTGATCCTGTTCCAATGCATGAGCTGATTACAAGCTATACAAGGGCCAAGTGAGGTTTCTCCTCCTGAGACACTTACAGCCAGCCTGTGAGGGGTAGCAGGGAGTGAAGCAGAGCCCTTTCACTGTTACAAGGCATCCTAGATGATAGCTCTTGAGTTTCTCCAGACCATGAAAACTTATGGCATATGGAAATGAGGAACAGAGATGGAGCAACAGTGGAGACTGTGTTCAGGGCTAACCCTGAGAGGAAGCTTTGGATATGGTTGTGGCAATCCAGAAAGAAGAGCATGGGCTGGACACACACCCAAAAGGCATGGTTAGGAGAGTGAGCAGGACGCAGAAGTCTTGCCAGCAGATCATCACTTACTAGCAAAGAACAAAGAAAAGGTGATGAAGCTGCCAGCTCTGTGACACTACTAGCCCAGCTGGGTTTTGCACCTGGCTTCCATGCCATGTGGTATTAGAGGATGGTCTTAGCATGCTCCTTCCTTCCTCTGCATTGCCTGGAAGGTGATCCCTTCTCCTGCAAAAGCTCTGCTTTAACACCCTGGTGTATTTGAAAAAAAGGGATGTTATATGCTGCCAAAACAATAGCCCAACAGAAGCTACACGGGTACTGTAACTATCAGCAGTAAATTGATGTGGATGTGAGAGCCAAGGTAACACAGTCAGAAGGGTCCAAGGAGAGAGGACTGATGCTTTGAAGTGCAGCCACACTGTCTGGTTCATAGAGATAACCTGGGGCACCAGCGGGACACGCGGCTCCTCGAGGACACTGCTCTGGCTCGAGCTGGGATCTGCTCCAAGTACAACCAGTGGCACACACAGTGCGACACAAACCCCACTACGATGAGCTAAACCACTGCTTGAGCTTACCTTTCACTGATTGTCACTGAATTTTTAGAGTTGGAAGGGACCATAGAGATCATCTAGTCCAACTCCCCTGCTGAAGCAGGATTGCCTAGAGCTTGTCAGAGCATGTTACTCAGGAGCATCCAGGCGGGTCTTGAAAATCTCCAGAGAAGGGGACTCCACACCCTCCCTGGGCAGCCTGTTCCAGGGCTCTGGCACCCTCACTGTGAAGTAGTTTTTTCTCAGATTTGAGTGGAACCTCTTATGTTCCAACTTGTGCCTGTTGCCCCTCATCCTCTCACTGGCAACCACTGAAAAGAGTCTGGCTCCTTCCTCCTTCAACCCACCCTTTAGGTACTTATAGGCATTAATAAGGTCTCCCCTCAGCCTTCTCTTCTCCAGACTAAAGAACCCCAGCTCTCTCAGCCTTTCTTCATAAGGGAGATACTCCAATCCTTGAATCATCTTCGTTGCCCTCCGCTGGACTCTCTCCAGTAGCTCCTTGTCCCTCTTGAACTGGGGAGCCCAGAACTGGATGCAGGATTCCAGTTGTGGCCTCCCCAGTGCAGAGCAGAGGGGGAGAATGACCTCCCTCCACCTCCTGGCCACACTCTTCCCTGTGCAGCCCAGGATTCCATTGGCCTCTTGGCCACAAGGGCACATTGCTGGCGCATGGATAGTGTGCTATCTACCAGGACTCCCAGATCCTTTTCCTCAGTAGTGCTTCCCAGAAGATCCACCCCTAACCTGTATTGGTGGCTGGGGTTCTTCCTCCCCAGGTGCAGGACCCTACACTTGTCCTTGTTGAACCTCATTAGGTTCTTCTCTGAATCTTCTCATTAGGTGCTTCTCTGATCAGCAGCACATGGCTGCTGATCAGATCACTCAGCCACGTGCTGCGTCCCTTGGAATAAAACCTTCTCTCCTCTTTTGGTGACTTCTGTCTTAAAATGAAGCTCTTAAAAGGAGGCTTTGCATCCTACTATTACGGTGAAACCAATTTTGAATCGATTTCCCCCAGCTACCACCAATAATAAAAAAGCTGATACTACCAATAGTAGTAAGAAAATGTTCATACAGATACCCCTTGAAAAAAACGCTAGAAGGGACATTCTGGCAGCAGAATTGTATGTCACCTTCTCTTTTGGGAGCAAAATCAGAACACATGACATATGCTTTCAATCAAACCCCACCACTCCCACATCACAGTCACCTATTCTCAACCTAGTGATTATTTTATGAAAATGTCTAGCCACCATTGTAGTGTTCTAAAATGTAATAATTTATTCTAAGTTTATGAGTACTTCTGAAACTGAAAGGGGAATAATTCAGCAATGCTACTGATTATGAAACTTTGACTCTGTACTAAATAAAGACGATATAGTTTCTAATTTTCTCCTTAGGGTTTGGATATTACAAAACTATTGAATATTACAGTGTCATAATTAGCTACCCAACAGTTAATTCCTATTCAGGAATGAAATCCTCTTTTTTCATGTTTTAATGAATTTTCTCCAAACCGGTAAAATGTGTAGGCTATTAATTCCAACCACAGAAAGCAGGGATTGAACAAAAATAATAATAGCTGCACAACACTTCCTCATTCCATCACCTCAATAACACGGCTACAAACAAAACCTCCCCACATGATAAATGTTATTACAAACTATTTCCATCCACAAAGCCAAAACCGCTCTCTCCATCAGCGCTCGCCCAACTCCAAGCATCTGCAGCTCCCGAGCACATGCCAACCACCTTCTCTGACACACAGCCAGCTCCACCTTTGACACGGGCAGAGAGAGACCTTCAGCCACCACGGGCAAAAGACGGCGCATTTATTGTGGAGAGAGCAAGGTGTGAGAAAGGGGGATAAATCACAGCTTTCAGTCATGAGCCAAAGGAGCTGATTCGCAGCTCCACAGCATTGTGAGGGTTGTGGGGATGATACAAACGACTCATCTCCAAGGGCTCCTTTTAAAGGGAGAGGTTGGATGAACAAGCTGGAGACGCAAGATCATAGAATCGTCTAGGTTGGAAGAGACCCTTGGGATCATCGAGTCCAACCATCAACCCTACTCTACAAAGTTCTCCCCTACACCATATCCCCCAACACCACGTCTAAATGGCTCTTAAACACCTCCAGGGATGGTGACTCAACCCCCTCCCTGGGCAGCCTGTTCCAATGCCCGACCACTCTGTCTGTGAAAAATTCTTTCCTAATGTTCAGTCTAAACCTCCCCTGTTGGAGCTTGAAGCCGTTCCCTCTCGTTCTGTCACCAATTACCTGTGAGAAGAGACCAGCACCAACCTCTCTACAGTGTCCTTTCAAGTAGCTGTAGAGAGTGATGAGGTCTCCCCTCAGCCTCCTCTTCCTCAAACTAAACAGCCCCAGCTCCCAGATGTGATGCGCTTGTGGAGGTTTGGGGACAAAGCCCAGCTCATTTTAATACAATAATATGCAGATGGTTTTGCTTTTCCAAATACTCTTAAGCTGCTCTTTAAGATCTGTGTGTGCTCTTCTCCCGGCATTAAAATATATTCATATTCCATGTGTGAAACGCCTTGTACAGCACAGCAGCAGAGACAGTGTGCTTAAGTGATCAAAGCACCTTTCACAGCTGCACCACTAACGCTGACAAACAGGCCTGTTTTACAAACGCTTTGCTTATAATCTCAGCGAGAGATGACATGTTTTCCTCCTCCACCTCCAGGCTGGATACCGAAGAGGCACACGCCGACGCTTACCTAGGAAGCCCTCTTCATCCACAATGATGGTGTAGTCCTCTGGGGTTTCCGTGAGGCTGAAGAACTTGCACCTGGAAAAGGCAAACAGGAGAACGAGGTTAACCACTGGACTGAGCAGAGCCTGGTCCTCTACCTAAAACGGAGGTCCTTTACCTAAAACAGAGGTCCTTTCCCACCCAAGCCGTGCTGGAGGAAGGAGTCATGGTCTGGTGTTTATGGACAGGCCCAAGGCATTAACAGACCTGGATTTTATTCCTGGCTCAGCCACTCACACAGTGCGACCCACATTCCCCGCTGCCTGCCTATGCACAACGGAGCTGGTAAAACACTTATTATTTTTATGACTTAGTTCTTAGTTACTTTTCTTAATTACCATATCCCTCAAGGCTTCCCGTGACAGCCCAGGACCTGCTGCATTGCACTGACACAGAGCACAAGGCTTTGCTCAGCGACTTGGCACTCCAACGCCCTCCAGAAGCCTTCCCATGGTTCACACACACACCCCTCTTCCCTATTTGCCCACCTAAATTTCTTGCCTTGCCCAGGTTTGATTTTAATCTCTCTACCAAGCCCCAGCATCTCTTCTTGCTGCTTCAGAGACTCTTCCCACCAGCAGAGAACATTCCAATCCCCTCTGCTGGTCCTTGCCCTTTCCTCAGTAGGGGCCTCCCTTCCCTGGGGAGCTCCAGGTGAAGAGCAGCAGCCATCAAGCACATGAACCCAAGGTCAAGCTCCCCCCTCTCCATCTCCCGTTGCTGCCGTTCTGCTCCGTGCTCATCTCTTGACACCGCAGGCCATGAGCAGCCCGGCCTCTCCATCTCACTCAGCACCGAGCACAATGTCACCTCTAACACGAGATACAAAACAAATGTGACATGGGATTCTTCCACCGTAGACACACAAACAAAAAAAGGCTCTGCCTTAAGGTTTAACACCACGTATAGTTGAAAAGTTGGGTTTTTTTCTCCCACACACCAACATATGTAACATCTACTAAAAAAAAAAAACAACCAAAAAAAAACCAGCTTTCTCCAGCTTCTACCCAGTTGGTCCCCAGCAACAGCAGGGAGGTTTGCACAATATTTGGCAAGCTCACGTTCACCTTCAGCAGAGCACGCCCTTGTCAAGAGCTGGCCAAGCCCCCCGACCCACGCAGTGCTCCTGGCCCTCCAGGAACATGCCAGAGCACAAGGACTTGGGTTGCTGCCCAAGCCACAGGAGAAAATTTTCCCTCTAGGAAGCTAAACTGGGTGCAAGAGGAAGAGCCTGTGTCTGTAAGGACCACAGAGCAGGATTTCACAATTCCGCTGCAATACTATCAGATTTATCTGAGGCAACCTACAGGAAATATTTTAAACACCGGGAAAAGAAAAATTATTCTTAAGGCCCCCAAATTTCACAGTATAATTTCCACATGGAGCGTAGTCCAGCAGGACTCAGCAACCAGGGAATACCAAGACTTCTTAGCACTGCTGAGCATCTGTCCCCCAAACTCTCCAGGACTTCTGACAGCTGGGAACTCCACACTGGTGGCTCAAGACATTGAAAAATCAAAGCGTTCACTTGATTAGAGAATCAGACTAAAAACTGGCCCAAGCATTCTTTTGACTGGCTGAAAAGAACAGAGATTGTAGCGAACCCTTCCAAAAACAACAGGGAGAAAAAGGAGATGGCTGCTGCCCTCCCCCTCACCCCATTAGAAAACCGAGAAGAAACAACGTGCAGCTCTATTAGAGACCTGCCATGTAACCACCAGGATTTCATGTAAATGGAAAGTATTAGACAACCTGCCTTTAGAGACTCGTCCTGTTTTCCTGGAAGCGTCCGTCACGACAATCAAGTATGACTCCCTCTCTCCTAGCACAGACATATCACCATGAAATACAGAAGTGGCCCCACCACAACAGAAACCACAACTTAATTATTTTGTGTCACTGGCAATAGCTACCATGACAGGCACATTTACTAACTCAACTCTCTCCAGGAATAGTGCCAAGAGAAGCAGAAAACAGTAGCAGCCCAAATTTTTTAGTCTCATGTCGTAACTGCACAAGGATGCTACCTGTGCGGGGGGTGACCCAAGCTATTTAAAAAGGACTTCTGGGATGCTGCTCCAGGTGGCTCCCAGGAGATACAAGTATTTACTATTTAGCAGATTAATTCCCTGGAGAAGTCACTGAAATAAAATTCTTTGCTACTTATTGCGCACTGAGCCACATGCTTGCTGAGTAGGGAGAAGCTAGTGGTCTTAGAGGAGGAAACATTAATATTAAAAAAAAATACAAATCTTTACTGATCTGTGATGGAATTTATGAGGAAATTTTGTTCCAGAGCAGTAATACACGTCTGTGTGTGGACATTGACCCCAGCAGAAAAAGCATGATTGTGACAGATGTCATTTTCTTAGCACACATCTAGAAGTGATGACATTTAAGGGATATGTACAGATGACATCATGAAATCCCATAATTTCTGGCTCGGAACACATGTCAAAACCTCACGTCTTCATACACCAGCTCAAAGCCCAACCCTTACCTCACTGCAATCCTGTAACAGCTCAGCAGCATAGAGCATAGAGAGAATTTAAAAGCAAAGTCTTTCCACCCGCACTGAGAAGACCGGTGGTTCTTGTGGTACACATTCACTTTGTTCAAGCCAAAGATGCCTTCTTTTTCCCAGGGAAAAGCTAAAAATTAACACTTGGAATTGCAAACGTTGTGTGATAAAACACGACATGGAAAATTTTCTTACCATTGCCAAAACTCAAGTCTTCACACTAAAACCTGGGCCTCAGCATCGATACATTCCTCTGTGAGCGCAGCTCAAAAACTGTGTCTTGAATCATCAATGACAGGAGGAACTCAATGTCAGATCTCTCCCCTGCACTATCCTACACATGCCTCTTCCATTCAAGTTATTCCCATCACTTCTTTTTCCTCTTACACCAGTTCTCAATAAGCTGAATGCCAACAGCGTCTTCTATTATCACACCAAAGCCAAGAAAGGAAAAGAATTGCCCTTTAATCATTTGGAGGCATCAGACAAACAGTATTTCTCTAAGTACGTGCGGAAAGCATATATGTAAGAAGACAATATTTTTAGCTTCCTCGTCGCCAAACCTCGGATAGATTCTTCTGGATTTCTGCCGCCTTCGTGTTTCAGCACATTTCCACTTCAGCACTGTTGCTGACTTCGACTGCCTGACAACATATGTCTTTTTCTGGCAAGGCAGCAAATGTAGACCAATCTATAATTAGATTAGATCTTTGAAACTGCAAAGCTTACGCCGTGGATGGAAGTAATACCCCGGCTCGCAGAGAGCAGGAAAGCATGTGTAGGATGCAGCAACAGCATCCCTTCAGTTTGCAAACAGCACTCCAGCCTCCCCAGGAGAAGCAGCAGGCAGGGAAGTGGACAGGTTGGCCTCCCTTGAAGGTCCACACCAGTGCCTCCTCAAGACATTTGGTCCCTGGACCAGTCTAGATCCCAAGAGTGACAATACCAGAATGGACATGACTTCCACTGGCTCTGGGTCACACACAGCACACCTTTGTGGGAATACTGCTACATGTCATCCAAAAGCTCAGCACAGCATGGTCTTTAAGGAAGCCACAAGTCCTATCTTCTCATTTTTTAGGAAACTACTTCATTAATTGTCGCCGAGTCAGGGCAAAGTGTTGCAGAGCTGTTTCTTCTATGGAAAAGACCCTTCCAGGAGCAGGTGGGCAGCTGGAATACCCACAGGTCAGAAACCACAGCTGAATGCCATTCAAAAGCAAAAAAATGCCTAAAAGGCATTCACATGCAAAGTCTGGAGGTAACCCAAAAGTTTGCAAAGAAGCAGTAGAACTGAATGGGAATTAGGAAGAAGCAGCAGAAAGTTGATCTGGGTAAATATGAAAAACATAATTTTTTGGGTTTTATTCCAGGCTGTCTTCTCATTTTAGATGAGAAGGGATTTGTGGGCTTCACTCTGTACATTATCATGACAATATGTATTCTTAGTACAGAAAGACAGTCTCATGCTAATCATCTAATTCTTGGTGATCTTAACTTCTTTGCAGTTTTATAAATAATGACAAGAGGTGGATTCTAGTACGACATATTGTGAAATGTATTTAGGAAAGCAGTAAAGAACACTTGTGCTGTTAATGCGTTTTGACATATTTGTATAACATGTTAAGTACTTTACACCATCTAATTACAAGACTATACAGTCAAATGGCACTGAAAATTGCAAACAGTGAAATGGCTGGTGTTTTCTAAACAGCATATTTCTTTGTTAGCCAAAACACTTTGCCATCTTTGTGGTGAGGCTGATGGAACACAGCGTAGCTGAACCCCAAAGACAAAACCAAGCCCCTTGCAACAGGCATCAGTTGACTTTCTGCTCAACACTCGGATGAGAAGGTGGTGGGGTCACCTTTCTTATAGGAACTCAATTCTGCAGCCTGGTATTAGAAGGCTGCTGCCCCGTTAAAAGGAGCGTTCCTGTTCATACGAGCTGCTGAAAGAAGCCCCGCACCACTGTCCCTCCCAAGGGAAACTCTAAAGATGTCACAGCATGTTAGAAAGGGTCAAAGGACAGCGGTAACATTCCTTCCAGTCATTAGTTGTGCCCAGACCTGGGACGGAGACATTAGCAAATACAATCAGGGACGGCCTAAAGAGTCACTGTGATACTGGAGTTTGGTTCATTACAGAAAGTTAATCATTTTCAAAACCAACACAGAACAAAACCAACAGAGTTGCGGCCAAGGAAAGCAAGTATTCACGAAGAGACATAAATTCAGGGAAGTCCTACAGCCTGTGCTATGCCAGAACTTCCAACACGATAACCATGATGGTCTTTTCTAATCCATAATAATAATAATGACAGTTTAAACTCCAGATTACGTTGTGTAAAATTAACCCAGGCAAGCCCTCTCCTTGCTACTTTCGTGTAGCTGGGGAAGTTATCTAAGCCTTTATTTGGACCTCAAGACAACAGGGAGCAGAATAATAGAAAAAATTATCAGAAGGAACAGAAATCGAGACAAGACACAAAAAGGATGACCTGCAATACAGAAAA